GCGACACCCCAGGTTTTTCGCCTACCTTTTGGGATGGCCTGAGTCTAAGTTGGCCTAAACGACCGTTGGACCGGCCGGGACGGTTAGAGAGGTTTAACTGCCTTGGCTGCCGTTTTAAGAATTTTCCATCTCCCCTGCTCCCACACAAGTGGAGGAAGACACCCCCACCCCACCCCCCACCCTTTAGCCCTTTCTTCCTTAAACTTGCTCTTTGTAATGGCATTTTGAGTTGCGGGATTGTGTACGTAATCATTCTGTTCTAGAAAAGCTGTTGGAGATCCCTGAATAAGCCTTATCTTTCCACAACCCCCCCCACCAGAAAAAAAAAAAGATAAACCACAGAAACCATATTTTAGTTTCTCTTGGGCAACTTTGAAAACAAAAATGAAATAAATGCTTCAGAAAATAACTGGCCAGGTCAGCTAGTATAGGGAAAATGTTTGGAAATAAGATTCATTTCCCTGGTGAAGTGGAACAGGGTCGATTGTTGTTGCTTAAAGGAAGGTACATTTCTGTTGCTGTAGAGGCCTGCAGAAGTTACACCCTAGGCTGGTTAGCCTTAATGTTTTAATTTTGAAGAATAGATCATGTATGTTGCAAACGTAAAGCGATATAGCTTTACGTTAATGTGTCTGGAAAGATGAATATGAATATTGGACGTTTGCATTAATGGGATGTTATTCAGAAATTAGGAAACTTGGCTTAGTTATTAAAAACCAAAATATTAGACGAGTTAGGTTCCTGTGAGCTGTCCTCCATGTTGGCATTGTGGCATACCAGGGCCGGGATAAGTCCTTTATCTTGCCTTCTTTGCCTTTTATAGAGCTGTTTTCTTTGAAAAATAGTGTTGCTGTGGTTAGGTTTGGCTACCCATTTCTCATCTAGGCTAGCAGAGTAATGGCAGTCTTGAGGATTTGTGCGTTTGTTTTGCTTTTTCCCATTCTGAATGTCACACATGATGGCCACCATTTTGTATTGAGAATACTTTGTACTACAGTCTGAGAGTAAAGGGGTAAAGAGGAAGAAATAATCTACAAACATAACTAGTGATGTTTTGGAGCCCTCCTTTGTGTGGAGGGGACTTGGTTCCTCCTTTGTTTAACAAACTCCTATGCCAGTGTAGAAAGAGTTTGCCAGTATTTTCTGTTGATATAACAGAAAGAAAATTCAGAAGTTGTAGCTCTTGAAAAGAGGGGTCCTGGAACAAAGGCTTCTTAAGAGATGTAAACAGTCTTTGTTTAGGAAGTGTTTTGTATTAGGAAAGCGAGAACAAGTGGTTTCATATAGTTGAAATATGGAAACAAAATAAACCCTTAAGAAATAGGAAATATTTTACATGGTGGTAGCTTTATAATGTCTATCTCTAGATGATTTCTGTTCATTGAGTTTTTGGAACCCTAGTGGATAAATTAAAGGGGTTTGGAGATTGTGGTATACTTTTAGTAGATAAGGGGAGAATTAACAGCATTTCTGTCTCCTTTTATTCTTAGCTTTTTCTTTAGCCTTGGTTTGGACTTTTTTTTTTAGTGAGGGTCTTAAGCTGCTTGACTTGTGAAAGACTTAGGATGTTTACATCATTTTGTATATGAATGCATAAGAGTTGACTAAAGTTTGTGGAAATGTAAATGTGAAAAAAAATGATGAATCAGGCTATGTGTAAACTTCAAGTTTAAAGACAGCAATAAACCTTATTTCAAAGTATAAGGGATAGCCAAGCTTATTTTCAGAAGTAAGACCCTTAAACATTAAGATTTTAAAATGCAAGTATTTCCATCTTGAGTATTTAGATGACTAAGTACAAATGTTATTGTCACGTAATATTTGGAGGTCAGTAATTTTAGGGGTGCTAATAGTCAAAAAGTTGGCTGCTCAGTAAATATCTTTGAATTTCTCAAATTTGATGGAAATGTATTTGATAGCTTTAGTAACTTTCTTGGTTTCAGATATCTAACATGGCTGTAGTTAGGCAGATTCCACAAATTTCTCCTTTGACAATGACCAAAAGTCATTGTCAAAGACATTTAAATCAAACCCCAGATGGCACAATAAAGGCTATTTTTCACTTTTCACTTCCTTTGGTTGTTTGTTTGAATCCTTCATCTACATTTTTATAGCCATGAGGTTTAAGACTGTTGTAATGCATTAAGCATCTTTGAGCTTGTTAACTACTCTCCTGGAGAGCAAGGGGGAAGTTAGCATACACACTTTTGTAAGGTAGAAGTGCTAATGACAACAGAGGTTATTCATGTCAATTGCTGTCTGGGGTGGGTGGGGGGGGTTGGTGGGTGTGTCTGTCTGTCTGTCTGAGAGAGAGACAGAGAGACACGTGTGTGTGAGTGTGAGAGTGTATTTGCACACATACATGCATGCTATACTGTAGTGTACATGTGGAGGTCAGAAGACAATTTGTAGAAGTTTGGTTTCTACTATCATGTGGATTCTGGGATCAAACTCATGAACTTGCTTCTTGTTTAATTCAAAGGGCGGTAAAAGTCAAGGATGTTTGGAATACATGAATAACAGGTTTTCAGAAATTTGCCAAAAATGGAACTTTTAGAGGGTTTAACATGTGTATTACATTATATATAATTTTATAATAATTTGTATGGTTTATGTTCAATAAACCATATGGGATCATCTTACAGACTTCTCACTTTTTTGTTTCATATTTATTTGTACTTTGACCTTGGGCATGCCTGTTGTCCATAGAGGCCAGACGAGGGCATCAGATCCTCTGGAATTGGAGTAATAGAGGATTGTAAACTGCCATATAGGTGTGGGAATTAAACATGGGCCCTTTTCAGGACAGGACCAGCAAGTGTTCTTAGCTACTGAGCTATCTTTCCAGCCACTCATTGCTGTCTTATTGGTCCACATTAGGATTTATGGAGAGAAATAAGTGAGGGCACTCACGAGGCAGAGTAGGTAGATCTCAGGTCAGTCTGGTTTGTGTAACAGTTCTGGCCAGCCAGGGCTATATAGTAAGACCTTGTTTGAAAAGAAAACAAAGGACTGGAGAGATGGCTCTGGGATTAAGAGCACTTGGTCTACCGGGGACCCAGGTTTGATTTCCAGCACCCATATGGTGGCTCACAACTATGCATAAATCTAGTTCCACAGGATCCGAAGCTACCTTCTCATCTCTACAGCATATGGTATGCATATATGCATGCAACCAAACACACACATATAAATCTTTTTTTTTGGGGGGGTGTTTCAAGACAGGGTTTTCTCTGTGGCTTTAGAGGCTGTCCTGGGGCTAGCTCTTGTAGACCAGGCCTGTCTTGAACCCACAGAGATCCGACTGCCTCTCCTTCCCGAGTGCTGGGATTAAAGGCATGAGCCACCACCGACAGGCTAGGTCCTCATCTTTTACTTTAAAAAATACCAAGATTTATGTTTAGTTATATGTGTGTGTGTGTGCCACCATGGCCTGGCCATATAAATCATAAAATTAAAAAAACAAAACATAAGGGATGAAAGGATGGTTCTATGATTAAGAGCTATTTACTGTGCAAACATGAGGACTGGGTTCCAATTGGAATGCCCACATAACAAATTGGGTATGGACCCACATTCCCTTGTAATCCCAGCAGGGAGGAGACAGGGTTCCTAGTGCAGAAATGTAAACTCCAGCTTCCAAGAAACTGACTGCCCCTAAGGAATAAAGCAGACATAGGACTGTACTTGAGCCTTCCTCAGTCTGTTGCACTCATACAGGTGAATGTACTAGCACACAATTGTATATTTATACATGCAGGACATTTCACACACATGTACATATACTCTACACACAAAACTTCAAAAATCATTTAAGCCCCTTACCTCTTCCCAATATAAGGACTACTTTTTTGACAAAGCCATAACTACCAGCGAACAAATTAAGTTTTAAACT